AGCAAATCTCCCTGTTTCTGAGCACTCTCAAAGCATTTCCAATCAAGTAATGATCTTTAGCACCCTCCAGACAATCTGTTTCAAGGAACATTTTTCTCTGTGGACCTACAGTCAGTCTCAGGGCCCTTTCAAGCACTCAGTACCTAGGAAATTAAAAGTTTGAGAAGACAGCTAAAAGGGTATTGTGTGCTGAGCTGAATGACATAGCAACACAGGAAACTGCCTTGGACCAACTCAGACCATTGGTCCCTCTAGTTCAATTGGTCTACACTGACTGACAGCAGCACTCCAGGGTTTTAGGCTGGGGATGCTCTGCCACTGAGGTTGTTTTCCTTTCTCCCAGCAGCAGCTGAATGCCACCGTTGCAGACAGCACAAAGGCAGATTTAACTGTAATTCCTGCATTGCAGGGGGTTGGATTAGACGACCTTTGGGGCCCCTTCCAACTCTGCTGTGATTCTATTCCTTTTCCCCCACCATCGGTTTTCTCACTGGTTCATTAAGAGGTTTGACTTTTTTGCAGTTCAGATGAAAAGGAGGTCATGTGCATGAATCAAGGTGAAATGATCCTTCCTTGGAATCTGCACGCAGGATATTTTGGTGCCCACATGAGGTGGAAAATTCAAACGGCCCATCCTGCCTCTGGGTAATTAAAATGGGCCAAATTGCACGGGAAGTTCGCTGCATTGAAGTAAATGGCTACTGCACCCTTCTGCTTTCATTCAAGTCCCATTCAATTCAATGAGAGTTACAGATAGGTAACCGTGTTGGTCTGCCATAGTCAAAACAAAAAAAATTCCTTCCAGTAGCACCTTAAAGACCAACTAAGTTAGTTCTTGGTATGAGCTTTCGTGTGCATGCACACGAAAGCTCATACCAAGAACTAACTTAGTTGGTCTTTAAGGTGCTACTGGAAGGAATTTTTTTTGTTTCAATTCAATGAGGTTTGTGGTGGAGATTTTACCCTGTGTTAATTAGCCAGGTAGGGAAGGTACTATCTGAATATGAACCACATTGAAGCTGAGAAATTTCCAGCCCCTAGAACAACCCCTGCCACAATCTTGCACTACACAGGAATATTGGAAGCTGTCTTACAACACAGCATGTCATTGCTCCATGTAGCTGAGTACTGGCCACACTGACTGGCAGCAGCTTTCTAGGATATCAGACAGGGGTCTCTCCCAGCCCTACCTGGAGATGCCAGGGATTAAACCTGGGAAGTTTCTGCATACAAAGCAGATGCTCTGCAGCCCCTCTTTACATTGCCCTCTGTGTGAGTGATGTAATGCTGTCCTAAGTTGCTGTACCAATGATGCCTTGTCCTGTTTTGCTGCACTAGCATCCGGATGCCATGACTTGTAACCCCACCTTAGCGGCATCAAGGGTAGGTCTTGCCTCTGACTTTGTATGACGTTACTTAATGAAATGTTTGTTCCACCTTGGGAAGCAAGCAGCGAATAAGCGTATTATGTAAGATATTAAGTGTCTTGACAATTCTGTCCAGCCAGATGGCAAATAATCCATACTCCCTCTGGAGAGGCGGTTCTTGCAGAGAGCAGTTTAACAGTGTTAGTTTCTTTTCCTCCTTGGGCTTGTTCCTTGGTCTTGTTCAATCCAGCCAGCCAGCCACCTCTTTTGCATTCCAAAAGTATAATGTCCTTCTCCTGTTATGTGCCGATCTGAAATTAAACACGGTCTTCAGGAAGAGAGAAGCTGAGAACATAAAAAGTAAATGAGCCAACATGGGAAGTTTGACTCCCATTTATGACCTGTTTTGGACCAGGTTACAGCAGGCCCATTAAAATCCCTCCCACGGAAGTCACTGCAGGAGACATTCCTTGTGCCTGGGCTGGACCTGGGCCTTGTGCTGTCAAAGAGACTGTGATCATAAGCTAGAGTATAATAGAACACAGCAGCTGTCCACAAAATGATGGTTGTGCTCTGCCTCCATGGTCAGAGGCAAAAACACTTCTGAATATCAGTTGCTGGAGATCACAGGAAGCGAGGGTTGCTGTTGTGCTCAGATCTTGTTTGTAGTCTTCCTAGAAGAGGCATCTGGTTGTCCATTGTGATAGCTCAGTTAGTAGAGCATGAGACTCTTAATCTCAGAATTGTGGGTCCGAGCCCCATGTTGAACAAAAGATTCCTGCATTGCAGGGGGTTGGACTAGATGGTCCCTATGGTTAGACCCTTGTGGTCCCTTCCAGCTCTATGGTTCCTTGATTCTATGCACTTGATGAACCTTTGGCCTGATCCAGCAGGGCTCTTATGTTCTAGTGGCAGAGCATGTGCTTTGTATGCCATTAGCCCAGCCAACATGACCAATAGTCAGGGTCACAGGAGGAGTTCAGCAACATGTGCAGGGTAGCAGGTGTCCCAGCCCTGTGATAAAGTATCAGTGGGTTGGTTAATCTACCAAGGCCTCCTTGATGTAGCCTTCCTCCTGGGAAGGAGTGTTGCCCATCTGCTGCCAGTGGAACTTTTTGCTGTATTGATCCCCGGAGGGCTTTCCAAAGCCAATGTCTCGTTCCTATTTCTGCCTCAGTGATTTCCTCTCTATTAATAAGGCAACTGCTTTCAACCCTGATGAGGTTTCCAGCTGGAAAGTAAAGCTTCCTTGAAGCAATTACTACTTGGAATCTGAAACATTGCTAGATCTAGCTTGGCACTGACTGCATCAGCTTTCCCCAACTTGGTGTCCTCCACGTACCTTGGATGACAACTCCCAGCAGCCCCAGCCTGCATGGATCTATGATGCTGGGGCTGATGGGAATTGTAGTTTAGAACCTATGGTGGGCCCCAGGTTAGGGGAGGCCAGACTATGTTATATTGCTGGACCTCACCTACCATGTAAGATGTGGGAATAGCCACCAGCTTTGATGATAACTTCAACAGCAAAATGGAACCTCTCTCTTCACAGGCAATCTGTGTATCTGAAGTCCAGGCATCAGAAGCAAAAAGCCTGGAAAGGAGGTCATTTTCATATCATGCTGGAGGGCTTCCTGGTGGTGTGGAGTATGGTCCAAAGGACCTACACTCAGTTTGAGTCTCAGATGGTTCCCCTGACATAAAAATAGCTGGCAGGGAAGCTAACTCCACCAGGGAGAGATTATCTGCCTGGATGTTTGTCAATAAGGTGCATGAGAATGACAAGGGTGGAAAAGGGTGTGACCTTTGGCTGCTGATATTGGGTATCTACCTGAACAGTTTCCTCATTTACTTTTGCACAAGAGAATCCAATTACATGTTAATACCCTTTCCCCAACCCCCTGAGGGATAGTTAACCCAAGATTGATTACACTACAGAACTTGAGAACTTGATGAGATGTTCCCAGTCAGGCATCTTGGGCTTCACAATGGATCTGAGCCAGACCACCTGACCTAATGAATTTACAAGTAGACACCGTTGCAGAATAGCTACAGGAAGGGTGGGGAACATCCAGCCCATGGGCCAAATATGACCCTCCAGTCTCCTCTAGCTGGCTCTCAGGATTCCCTCCAAACCACATCCCCTCCCCTGGGTTACACCATCATTGTCCCTGTTCTGCACCCTCCTAGAATGCCTTTCCTTGATGGGGATGTGGCCTCCATGAAGTGTAATAATGCCTCCTGCTTGCGTGATTGTTGCTAATTATTTTTACTATTAATTTCATTTTTCACCCACCCTTCATTCTAAGATCCCAGGGCAGTTTACAATAATTTCAAGAATCTAGAACAGGTAAAAGAAGTTACAAGCACAGAAACAGAGGCTGTCCTGAAAACACACCTCTCAGGTGTCAAAGGCTAGAGTAAAGAGGTGCCTCTTCAGCATCCCCCAAAAGCCATAAAGTGAAGGTGCCAGATGCACCTGTGTGGGGAGAAGGGAGTTTTACAACTTTGGGGCTGCCACAGAGAATGTCCTCTCCTGGGCCAACACCCTCTTAACTTCTGAGGATGGTTGAACTACCAACAAGGCCTCCTCTGTTGATCTTAACCTCTAAGAGGATTTCTCCAGAAGGAGGCAGTCTCTCAGATATTTGTTGCCAAAGTTATTTAGAGCATAAAGCACTAATGTGAACACTTTGAATAGGGCCCAGAGCTCAGGGGGTTGCATAACCAGTTGGAGGATGGAGAGATGTGTGTGGAGGGGAGGGAATGGATGTAAAGAACTTTTGACTTTTGCTTGACTGGAGTGTGGCCAAGTGTGCAAAGATAACAGCCGTGTCTGTTGCTCTGCCCGATTTTGTTGCTAGCTCAGATCACCACTGGTTGTATAGGCTGTCCTTATCAATCACCAGGAGGTTCTCAGCTATTTCTAGGCTAGGGCTGTACTTGAAAACCTGTACTTGCCAACCCGGTCCCCTCTAGATGTTTTGGACTACAACTCCTGTGCCTCATCTTGCTCCTGTGCCTCACCTTGAGCTCCATGATGACTGTCATAAATGAATGTCAGTACAGGCCCCCTTCGGACTGAATGTGGGGGGTGCTCACAGAACAGGGTGGCAGTCACACCGGTGGGACTTGTGCCTGAGGTTGTCCCACTCAGTTTTGACCCAGGGCTCTGAGGCCTCCCACCCTGATGCCCTCTGTGACATCCACATTCTGTTTCCTGAGCTGACCATAGGGAAGCAGGGCAGGCAGGCTTCAGGATACACCTCACCCCTGTGGATGCCAAGAGTACTTATTTATCTCTCCTAGAGCAATAGAATGGTCTTGTGACAAGGGTGCCATTCTTGGGACCCTTTAAATCTGGCTGTGCCAAGCGACAGCCCCCCCTCCATCAGGGCGCTGTTGCTGCTGCCATTCTCCTCCTCCTTCTCCTCCTCCTCTGCTGGAGCTCTCCAAAGTGCCTCTCTGCCTTCATTCCCCATCTACGAGCTCATGCTCTGGTCCAGGGTGAGCCTGGCGTTGAAAGTTGGCTGACTCCACAGGTGAGGAAGCGAGGAGAGGGAGGAGGAGGGAGGGGATCCGGTGTCTGCTAAGGCGGGGAGTGGGGGGGGGAAAGCTTTGGTGCATCTTTTGGCGAAGGTTCTCCCCACCCTCCGCACTACTCCTGTTTGGGAAGTGAGGGTCGCCTTCCTTCCTCCCTCCCTCCTCGCCTCTTTCCTTCCCAAGGCCAGCGCTGCGCCTTCATCCCGCCACCGGCGCGGCGCTTCCCACCCACTGCCGGGGCTCCCGCGGGGTTCGGGGAGCCGATGCGGCGGTCGGAGGGAGGGAGGGAGGCTGCGGCTACTGCGGCGGCGGCTCTGCGGGGCGAGGAGCTTCACCTGCGGCTCTGCCTGGCGTAGCCTCTTCTCTCGATTCACGGCTGCTGTTGCTGCTGCTGGCGCTGTCCGCGGGCGGCGGTGCTGAAGTGCGGCGGCGGCAGCTTTGCAGGCGCTTCACCTGCGGCGACGGTTGTGCCTGGCGGCGCCTCTGCTACTATTACTGCTGCTGCTCCGGGCGCTGTCCGAGGGCTGTGGTGCTGAAGTGCGGCGGCGGCAGTCGCCTCCAGCTCAGGAGCTTCCCCAGGCGTGGGGCGGTGGGGGGGGGGGAGAAGATATAAAGACGCGTCCCCCCCACCTCCTCCTCCTCCTCCTCTCTACCCCCTCCCTCCCGGCTTCCTCCTCCTCCTGGCGGCTTAAGAGATGCTGGTCCGCTGAGCGGCGGCGGCGCCGACCATGAGTTCCTCCTCGGTGCGCAAGAGCGAGTCCAAGACGTCCTTACTGCGGACGGGCGGCGGCGGGAGCGGCAGGCGGGCGCCCAGCGAACCGCAGCCGCGCAGCTCCGGGGGCCGCACGGAAGGCAGCCCCGAGCCCAGCGCCAGGAGGCCCCTGTGCCACCCAGGAGCCGGCGCCACAGTCTCCTCCAACGGCAGCTTGAGGAGGCACCACCAGCAGCAGAATCGCCTGGGGGAGCCCGACGAGGCGGAGGCGGCACCGCGGAGACGCGGGAGCGGCCGGGCGCGCGGCTCCTCTCGGAGTGCCAGCCAGGAGGCGGAGAGCGACGGGGTAGCGACGGCGGGTCGGGGGCAGGACTTGGGCGGCAAACGAGCCAGCCGAGAGTCCCTCCAGCTGCCCGACGGAGCGTCCCCCAAAGGCACCTCCGGCGGCAGCGGAGGCGGCGGCAGCAGCAAGAGCTCCGCCGCCTCCAAACCCGGCGCGGAAGTCGACCCACTCTTCCACCAGCTCCACCCCATCCTCAGCTCCGTCTTTGGCCAGGTAAGGGGCCCTTCGTCCCTCCCCTAACTCCGCTGCCCCCTCCTTGCCACTCCTCTCTTTCCTGCGCTTCCTTCTGGGACTGGATGCGGGGTTGGGGAGGAGAGAGCTCGGAAACTTCTGGCTGGAAATGCGCTGCTTCGGGGCTGCCTGGCAGGAAACTCCAGCGGAGCTATGCTGGGAGGGAAGGAGGGGGCGAGAGGGGGCGAAAACAGACGTTGGAGCTGCTTCTCTTCCTCCTCCCTTCAAAGCCCCCACTCCAAATTCTCCTGGAGTCCTCCCTGTGCACCTTTCCCCAGGTTCTCAGGAGGAAGCAACCGCCGGGTCAGAAGTGTGCGTGCGCGAGAGCACCGGTAAAGTGATGCAAGGCAACCGCCGGGTCAGAGGTTTGCGCGCGAGAGAGCACCGGTAAAGTGAGGCAGGGCTAAGCAACTAGTCCTCAGGAGTCGCCAGGGAAAGGAAGTGAGTCGGGCAGACATTGGCAGGGACCAACAAGCCCCCTAAAGCAATCCCCGTGGAAAAGAAGCTGGTGAAGAGCAAAAGAGAACGCAGCAAGCGGGAAGGGGTCGTGCTCAGCGGTTTGGTGTGTGTATGTGTGCGAATTGTGGCTAAGCGCACCCCCTGTGTGTTGGGTATCGGCCCCGAAGCTTTGGGGTCAAGTGAACCTGTCTTTCTGAGTGAGAGGAGAGACACCGCTTATGCTTCAGTCCTCTGTGTTGCTGGGGCGGGCTGAAGGTTGGAGAGACTGTAAGTGCAAAGACGGTGAATTAGTGAAACAGTTAAAAATAATACATTAAAAAAATATGCAATAGACACTTTAAGCAAACCTAAGGATGGGTTGCCTATCCCTTTATTTGTCTTTTGAGCTCCTGTAGCTGACCTTCGAATATTGGGTTTGATTTTAACACTGCTCTGTTCACGTCCACTGGTGACCATTTTCACATAGATGCACCTTGAAGGTGAGAAAACCTCCCTTGCTTCTTTTTTCTGGGTGTTCCACTTGTGAAAGCTGTCTCAGGACCAAGTCTGGGTTGGGTGCCAGCGGCATAGGATGCAAGCTATGCAAGGCTTCGCCAACCTGGTGCTCTTCAGATGTTTTGGATGACAACTCCCATGAGCTCCAGCCAGTATGGACATACTGATGGGAGTTGTAGTCCTAAACATCTGGAGGATGCCCCGTTGGCAAAGTAAGAGGAGGCCCAGTTGAACAGGAAGGTCTCTTGCACAAGTCCCATTGAAATGAACAGGGGATGCTTGTGCAAGAGAACCTCAGCAACTTTCATCTCTATCTCATTCTCTGCCACCTTTTAATAGTGCTGATAATCTTCTCCCTGCAGGTGGCCCCTGTATCTTTCCACCCAGAAAGGTTTGACATTTAAGTTTATGGGAGTGACAAATGCCAATTCCAGCCATTTAACTGACCCTTTTTAAAAATGCATTTTTATTTTGATGCGTCAGCCAAATAAAAGAGCACCAGAATTAGACATGGTGGAGAGAGCGGGACAGGGAGTGTTTGCTTCAGTTGCTAAGTTGTGCTCTGGGTCCACTGCCACTCGCAAAACATTTGGTTGATAACAGCTCTCTCTGCATGAGTATTTTTTAAAAAGTCCTTTTTATCCAGGTCTGAAATCTTCAGACAGTCAGGATTTTAAACTGAGCAGGATGTGTAGAATGGTTTGTTTGTTTGTTTGTTTGTTTGTTTGTTTGTTTGTTTATTGTTAGATTTATTTATTGTTAGATTTCTTTCAAGGAGGTCAGGGTGACATACACTGTTCTCCTCCTCTCCATTTTATCCTCCTAACAACCCTGTGAGATAGGTTAGGCTGGCTCTTGATGTTGTTGTGTCAAGTTGATGGCGTCCAAGTGTTCTTGCTGGGAATGAATCCTTCCTATGTGATGGAGAGGCTAAAAAGAGAGGAATTGTCTCTAACCTGTCCCTTTCTGCAGCCTATCTGTAGGGATGGAGCAGGAAGGGGCAGAAAGACTGCTCCATAAGATGCTCCCTCCCAGAAGTAGTCTAGCAAGCTCTTCACCAACTGGCTGCTCTTCAGATGTTTTGGACTACAACCTCCATCAGCCCCAGCCAGCACAGCTGGGAGTTGTAGTCTGAAACATCTGGAGGTCCTTAGGATGGCAAAGGCAGGTCCAAATTAAATTCCTGAAAACTCTGAAAAAGAGGGAGGTGGAAGGAGGAATTAATTTCTTTCCTTCACAATAAGGAAGAAAATTTATTTTATGGTTTGTTTGTTTATCTATCACATTTATATCCCATGTTTTCTCCAAGGAGCTCAAGGGTTCTCTTCCTCCCCAACGTATCCTCACAAGAACTCCACGAGTTAGGTTAGGCTGAGAGATGGTGAATGGCCCAAGGTCACCCTGGGAGTTTGCTGGCTGCGTGGGGATCTGAACCCTGGTCTTCCGGGTCCTAGTTCAACAATGTAACCAGTATGCCACCACTGGCTCCCCTCTGGGGAGAGAGAGAAGCATTAAGACCCCCAACTGTTCTGCTCAGGCTTCATACAACCTCTGCCGCCAACCTATCTCAATCTTGGTGGGGCTACAGTGTATAACTTCTAACCAACCAGTCGTGACTCGGTGATCTTCAGACATTTTGGACTACAGCTCCCATCAGCCCCAGACAACACACTGTCCTAGCACAAGCAGTCCATGAAACCAAAATGAGGATCTTGCAAATGCAAGGAGAGAGGGATTTGGCTCTCCAATGATGCATTGTATCACAAGCCCAACCTGTATTTCTCATGCAGCTGGGGACTGGGGAGAGGAGATGACAGACTAGGAGCTGGGGGTGTCTCCAGGGAGATGCAGAGTAAGTGCATCTAAAGCTCTGTGTGACACAGTTTATCTTCTTTGGGGAAGCGCTTCATACATTAGATTGGCATGTGTGTGCGGTAATGTCTGCAGGAGCAGTTTTCCCAATCTATGTGCTCTCCTTGAAGTGTGCTCTTGGGAGTACCATTTGGTGGAATGGCAGGACACCATTTTTTCAGACAAACTAGGGGGAACTGTAGCTTGATGGTAGAGCATCTGTTGTGCATGCAGAACATCCCAGGTTTAATCCCTGGCATATTTAGGTAGGGTTTTAGTGGCGAGATTCTGGAGGCAAGCAATTGGGGAGGCTGTTCAGACCTCCTACTTGTGGACTTCCCAAGAGCATAAGACCACCAGAAGAGTATGCTGGATCAGGCCAGTAGCCCATCTACTCAGTGCCGGATTTAGGGTTGTGTGAGCTGTTCCCCCGCATAGGGCACTGAGCCAAAGAGATGCAAAATTGAGAAGATCCATTTGGGGGCACCAAATGTTGGCCTCGCACAGGGCACCGTATTACGAAAGATTACCAAAGACTGCCCCTAATCTAGTCCAGCGTCTAGTTCTACCAGTGGCCAACCAGATGCCCCCAAAGGAAAGCCTAGGAGGGGAACCTGAGCGCAACAGCCCTCTCCCCTTTCCCCTCTGTGGTTTTCAGCAACTGGTATTCAGAAGCATTACTGCCTCTGACAGTGAAGGCAGAACATAACCATCAAGGTTTATAGCCATTTGGAGCCTTATCCTCATGTTTATCACTAAGCAAAGTTAAAAAAAAAAACAGAACTAAGTTTTTTAAAGCAGAGGGGAAGGAGATCAGGGGCCCAGGAGAAAACAGCCAGGGCTCAAGCCTTCTGGGCAACCCCCTAGCAACCCTAACACAGGAGGGACCAGCAGGTTCATGACGGCAGAACTGGAGCGAGTAGAGTGGTTAACTGTCCATCCGCATGCACTTCCCCCATACACAGAGTTATGGAGATGTGAAATGGTTGCCTGGAGGAGTCTGTGGAGAGGAGTACTGAGCACCTCAGGGGGCGCCTTAATGATCAGGATTGCAGAGTGCCAGTCTCCTCTTATTACATGTGTTATGTCAAGGAGAGAAACCATACCAGCTGGCAAACTGGTCCCCCTCCCTGCGTCAGTCTTGTCGGAGGATAGGAAGCTGTCTTATATCAAGAACTGAGTACTGGTTCACTCAGCTCAGCAATGCCTTGTCTACATCAGAGGTGGGGAACCTGTGGCCCTCCAGGTATTGCTAGACTCTCATCAGCTCTAGTCAGCATAGCTTTTTTGTTTCATTTCACTAGACTGAAATACTGCTTGGTTGTAAAAAGTCCTCAAAGCAGTTTACAAAGAGAACAAAACAATAAAACTGTTAGTAAAAAAATATAATTCAAAACATTCAAAAATAGTTAAAATCAGTGATAAGCTAAAAATCAGGTTAAAGCACATGTCAACATTCTACATCTTTTGGATAGGCTTTGACTAAACAAAAAATTGTCTAAACAAAAATGCTTTTAGCAGGCACAGAAAGAGTACAGTGAAGGCAGGGAGTTCCAAAGGGTAAGCGCTGCCATATGAAATGATGGAGTTCTTATAAATGCAGAATGGGTATCATATGGCATCCATAGTAATGCCCGTTCTGCTGATTAAAGTGGATGAGAGGGCACATGTGGGGCAAGGTTATTTCATAGGTAAACTGGTCCCAAGTTGTTAAGTGTCTTGAACTTGGCCTGGTAGCAAATCAGCAACCAGTGCGGATCTCTGAGCACAGATGTTATATGTTGACAGGGTCTCACTCCTGACAGCAGTTGTGCTGCAGCATTCTGCACTAACTGCAGCTTCCAGATCAAATGCAAAGGAAGCCCCACTTAGAGCACATTGCAGTACAGTAGAACCTCGGGTGGCGCTGTGGGTAAAAGCCTCAGCGCCTAGGGCTTGCCGATCGAAAGGTCGGCGGTTCGAATCCCCGCGGCGGGGTGTGCTCCCGTTGCTCGGTCCCAGCGCCTGCCAACCTAGCAGTTCGAAAGCACCCTCGGGTGCAAGTAGATAAATAGGGACCGCTTACTGGCGGGAAGGTAAACGGCATTTCCGTGTGCTGCGCTGGCTCGCCAGATGGAGCTTTGTCACGCTGGCCACGTGACCCAGAAGTGTCTCCGGACAGCGCTGGCCCCTGGCCT